TTGGGGCCGGGAGCGATGATGAAGCTGTCGGTACCGGCAATGGGGGAGTTGGGACTGTGACTGGGAGCAATGAATCGGTCGAAGATGGAGGTAAAGGGGGAGAGGGACCGGCATAACCTTCCATAAAGAAGGTAGGGGTGGTGGGTTGTGGGATCGAGAACATTTTGGTCCAATCAACCGATGGTCCCGCTCGGGCCATTTCCGTGTACGCCAAAATCCAAGGGTGGTTGAGCCACTGGGCCGCGTTATACCACATATTCTTGTCGATGAGCAAACGTACAAATCGTTCCTGTAGGAGAAAGAGATCCAATTTCAGTCAACAAATCATTGTTAGTCACTCACAGCTTTCCCGTATGCATCCTCTTCCACCGTCCGTTGGTGGGCCAGAAGACCTTCCCTGTGACGGTTGTAAAAGTTCAAAAGCGTGGAGGTGGCCACCCTAACATCCTCCAAGAACCCGGGAGTGAGGGTATGGGCCTGTTGAGCGGCTTGAGCAAGTTCAGCAGTGGACATGGTAAGTGGGAATGGGACGATCGAGGGTGGTGAATGTGCGCGTCGGAATGGGACAATGGTGAATGTGAAATTACGAAGTTGTAAACGCGGTCACGTGGTGGCGTTACTTCAACCAAGATCCGTACAATGTTCAACCGAGATCCGCAGAATGTTCCATGGCCGATCTGCAGTGGCTTGCTTTCCCACCGTTGAAAAACAATGTGTCTTCATCACCAACCACACAGTGCAATCCCAGGAAAAGCTATCTACTCTCTGACTGATATGTCTTTAACAAATCCAGGTATTGTCCCTACTCCACACCAAGGATTGTCTACTTAATGTAGATAAACAGAAGCTGTGATGAAAGACCAAGAAATGAAGGATGGTAAGTTTTATGTACTCTTGTCGGCTGAGCAGTTCTAACCATATCTTAGGAACGGCCGAGGCTCTACCCCCTCTTCAACCAAGTGGTGAGTTCCAGTCGGTGACAGAAAACTAGCCAAACCTAAATTCTGGGTGGCCGATAGGACAGAGCCAAGAATCCGAACTAGTGATGGAAGTGGACGTCCCATCCTCGGCTCCTCATAGATCCATTTTCGATTTCAAAGAACCTACCCCTGCTCTAAGTTCCAACCCATTCACCCCAGCCTCGGCTCACCAATCCATTTTCGAGTTTAAGAAAGTCGGTACTTCAGCGTTTGCCCCGACCTCGGCTCATCAAGCATCAATGTTCGATTTTCAGCACGTGGGCACTTCAACGAATGTGCCACCTGTTTCCCCGTCCTCGGCTCATCAGCGATCGATTTTCGATTTCCAGAAGCCTGGCAGATCTCCACCAGCCTCGGCTCGTCAGGCATCGATTTTGA